AAAACCTCATGGGAAGGGGGGCGTTTCGGTCCGCCCTTCACGCCCTACCGAGGCCACCAGTTGCCCCCCACGAGCGGCTCTCCAGCACGGCCACGACTCCAGAGCACAGAAACCAATTTCTTAACTATCTGACTTACAGTAGAAATACTTCCAGGGTCAATAAGTAAAATAGCAGAAATCCAAAACCAACATATAATTCTTGAACCCAGCTATAGAAAGCAAATCACTTCACAATGCTTTGTCAGCATGTCTGATTTGGGGGGGTGGGGTAAACTCTAAATAATAGTGGTGAATCTTTTACTGAAACAATGAATCTAATCAAAGCAGATAGAGTGTTAACTAGAATTCATCTGCCCCACAGGGACTGGGAGGGGTGGGGGGTGGGGTTTTATTGGGGTTCTTGATGGTAAAAAATAAGTTTTGGTAAAGGGAAATGTGCTTGATATTTGCATGACTGAGACCTAAACCTGAAAGCTTTGTAACCTTTCCCATGGTGATTCAATAAATAAATTAATTAATTAAAAAAAAAGGCTGTAACAACCTTTGAACCCCATAGCACAGCTGCCTTGATTATCTAAGAGATTAGATTCTCATCTTTCTTAAGAATGAGCCTCTTTCTTCTATATCAATAACAACCTAGATCTATTTATCTATGACAACAGGCCAATACACTGATACTGTCTCCTCAGCTTGGAGATAGGATAAAGCAGATATATAAATAATGACATAACTCAGTTCTGAATCTAGAGAGACATAAAAAGATATACTGAGATCATATTTGCAGCATTTGACCAACTATTCTTGAGAGTTTATTTATTCATAAAGGAATCCTGAAAATTGACGAATCAACCTTCTACCATGCATTTGCCTTGCTTTATCCTAATTTGCAATTTTTATTTTGTCCCTACAGTTCTTTCCAAACATAACAGCTTTGTATCACTGCTTTTATTTATTTATTTATTTGGCAGACAAATTTATTGTTTTTTCTCTATGGTTTCTGGGTTGCATTCTAGTCTACATAAAAGAGGCTTTCCACAGTTGGAAACTACAAATACACTTACTGTAAAGATTTTTTCAGAGAAAGATTTCAGGGAAGTTAAAATCTCTGGCAAGCCAAGTTTTGAAAAATCACTAAAATTCCCTTCTATGCATGGTCTCAGATGTGATTTCTCCAGGAAACTCATTCCAGGCAGCAGGGAATACTACCTAGTGCAGAACTAGTCTTTCCCCAAAGCTCAATTGTGCAAATCCCACACACACTGCCCGGGTGTGTTCATGACTAAATATATTTTTTGGTGGTGGGGACAGAAATGACATCCAGCAGTTCCCAAGGGCCACACCTGGCCGTGGTCCGGAGACCATATACAGTGCCAGGATGCGAAAAACTGTGTGGCTTCAGCTGCATGCAGGGCAGGTGCTCAGCTGGCTCAGTCTCTCCAGTCCCACGGCTACAACTTCATGATGATGTGGACACAAATAAATAAGACATGGTATCTGGAAAGTACACTTTTGGAGCCAGAGAGAATGTACAGAGAGTGAGGCCTCTGCCTTGCAAGCAGCTAATCCTAGTTTGATCCTTGGCACCCTTAAGTCATGTCCTGAACATTGCCAGGAATGACCCCTGCACACCACTGGGAATGGCCCCTCCCCCTCAAAATACACTTTTGAAGGGGTTGGGTGGGATTAGGGGTCACACCCAGCAGTGCTCAGGGCTTACTCCTCGCTCTGCACTCAGGGATCACTCCTGGCAGTGCTCAGGAGACCATGTGTAGGGTGCCAGGAATCAAACCTGGGTGAGACATGAGCAAGGCAAGTGCCTTACCCACTGTACTTTCTCACTGTACCATCTCGCCAGCCAAAGTACACTCTTCAGATGGCTACTGCTGAGTCTGTCTGAAGGCAAGTGAAGTCCAGAGCAAAGGCTCTTTGAAGAGAAGTGCAGTTGGTGTAGACAGAGTGGGAGCCTGAGCACAGCCCTTACCTAGAGCAGAAATGTGCGTGTGTGAATATGCATGCATGTGCATATTCCTATCCCTGAGCATGTGTGGCCGTGCATGTGTGTGTATATTCCAGTCCCCGTGCATGTGTGAATGTTCATCCGTGTGCATATTCTTCTCCCCATGCATGTGTGACCATGCATGCGTGGGCATATTCCTGTTTCCATGCACGTGTGACCATGCATGCATGTGCATATTCCTGTCCCGATGCCCAGCTATAGAGTTCAGCTAAGGCAGATGGCAGGATACCAAAGTTAGCATAAAACCAGTTGTTAACTTCTTTATGCTTCTCTAACACTTCTACCACATGGAATGGGTTTTTCTTTCCAACTAATTTTATTGTGTATGTAAAAATTCAAAGAGTTAGCATATGCCTGCCCATATTTTCAGTTAAACACAAAATAATATAAGAATACAATCTACCAACAAGTGAAGTTTACACATCCAAAATAACTTGCTTATAGGGTAATTTCCAATTCTTTTGCAACTGCCAAAACCATAAAAGTTGTTGCTTAAAAGGCCCAGACCTTCATCCTACACTTGATGAATCCAGCTCTTCCTTACTGCTACACACAGCCCCACTGTTTTTATTTTTATTTACTTATTGATTTTAGCTGGAGGAGTTCACCCAGCAGTGCCCTGGCTCTGTGCTGAAGATCGAGCCAGGGTCAGCCACAGGCACAGCAAGCACCTTCCCACTGTACTGTTTCTCGAGCCCCATCCACATTTCTAAATTTCAACCAAGGCATCCAGCTTGGAGAGCAATGCTCTTGAGCAGACGTAAAGAGTCTCTGCTCCAAAAGAGAGGGACAGACATAGAAAGATTGCATTCATCAGGGGATCATAAAGTAACAAAATAAGAGACTAACACCCAAGAATAGCTGAAATAAGTACCAGGAGGTTTACTCCATGGCTTGGAGGTCAGCCACACATGCTAGGGGAAAAGGCAACTCAGATAGAGAAGGGAACACCAAATAAAGGGTGTTGGGAGGATCCTCCCAGGATGGGAAATGCATGCTGAGAGTAGACTATAGACTGAACTTGATTGCCACTCAATGCCTCTTTTGCAAACCACAGCACCCAAAAGGAGAGAGAGAACAAAAGGGAAGGCCCTGCCACAGAGGCAGGGTGGGATGGGGGTGATGGGGTGTGGGAGGGATACTGGGATCAGTGGTGGTGGAGAATGAGTACTCGATCATTGTATAACTGAAACCCAAGCACAAAAATTTTTAAGTCTGCAACTGTACCTCATGGTGTTTCACTAATAAAAATTTTTAAAAAATAAATTTAAAAAATTTTTAAAAAAGAGTATCTGCTCTGTGATGCCCGTGCCATATTCTGAAAGGCATCACACAGACTGTGGCATCCTTCCTTTCTCCATGCTGGGAAATTGAGGGCCACTCCCAAAGAGCTTCAAGTCTACCATCCCCAATGTCATGGGGCAAGTCACTGTGTCCGTGACGTATGTCTGAGCATGCTGCCCTACCCCCACAATCCTATACCTAACCATCCTTAATGGAGTGACTCAGGACATTCTGTTCAAGAACTCATGGTGATTAAAGAGATCTTCTTTGGCTTAGAATAGGCCTAGATTCCTTTTTAATGAGCTTTCAAAATTCTAGGAAGAAACAAAAAGCAAGGTGTACTCTGGGCAGAAAGCTGATGACTGCTTGTAGCAGAATAAACAGGAATGACAAAAACAAATGGAACCATGGTTTCTAAAGGTCAAATTAACATGAATTCATGCTGACTAAAGGAAGACAAGCAATGCTTCAACACAAAGTTTCAGGTCATCATGCAGCCACAGAAAAAATGGGGGCAAATTATCATTTCTTTTAAGTGGCAAGAAGGCATCAAAAGACAGCATAGCCAACCCAAGCAAGGCATTCCATTAAACGTATCAACGTGTTTGGGTTCGAAATGTTATTGTGCAAAATGTTTAAAAGGCTTCAGTTTCTCTAATGTGATTTTCACAAGAAGAATTTGTGGCAGTTACAGTACCCACAATTTAATTTTACCCAGATGCTTTTCCCAATTTTTAAATTTATTTTTAGCCTAACCACATGGCTTCAGCAGAAACTGAAAATGAGAGTTAGTCAGTTTTCATCACATATGCAGAGTGAAAATAGTAACACTTGGTGTATTTTGTGCAGCTTATTTTTGAGGAAAGCAATAGATGCACTGTGAAATAATACAGTTTAAATATGCTAATGTCACTATCTTAAGTAACTGCAAGTAAGAAAGTCAAGATAAGCAACACAGTTGGCACTAGTAGCTTAACTCAATTTTAGCTTTGTGTTTGGAAGCTTATAATTAGAAGATTTTTGAAGAGTTTTATCTGGAGGCAGTTCCCAGTGAGGTAGCCCAAGAAGCAAACATTTCTTAAACTATTTAACAGTCATAATAGCTGATCTAGAAAATGTTCCAACTCTCACTTTTATATGAAGCTCACACCACTCCTCCCAGCCTCTGCCCTTAAAGGGAATTTCCGGGCTCTCTCCTGCCTGGTTTCTGTTGTTGGAAATCACCCATGGCATATCTGGAGGGTGTGTGGGCCTATGGGTAAAGCAATCAACATAGCTGTCAGATGAGAACTGATGAGGGGAGAAGGTGGAGGGGACCACTGCATTCCCACCTTATCATGGGAACTAAAGGAGGGGAAGGGAATTCCAGATGGTTCAAAATTTTGTATGTGAGGGGCTAGAGCAATGATACAGTGGGAAGGACACTTGCCTTGCATGCAGCTGACTCAGGTTCGATCCCCAGCACCCCATGTGGTCTCCCAAGCACCACCATGAGAGATTCCTAGTGCAGAGCCAGGAGCAACCCCTAAGTGTTGCCAGCTATGGCCCAAACATTTAAAAAAGATTCTGCATGTGATAACAATTCAGAGACCTTCTGTTTTACAACAGAGTCGCCCTCGAGAATGAATATCTTCCAGCACACACTGAAGAAGCAGAGAGCAGTGTATTGACTGCAAAGCTGAGACTAAGCCCGACTTACCGGAGACGTGGTCAGCCGGAGGATAGTGCCATTCTTTATCTCGTTCCGATTCTGGAAAAGAAAAATCACCAGTTTTTTAAATCAATCTTCAAACAGACACTTTGTAAAGAGGAGGACAGAGGTTAATATAGCCCAGTAGGGAGTCTAAATATGGGCTGGGGAGAGTCTGCAGCCTTGTATGCAGCTGACACCAGTTTGAGCCCCAGCACACAACTGGTTCCTGAGTGCCAAGACTGACCCCTGAGCACAAAGTCAGGAGTAATCCCTAACTAAACCAGTGAGCATGGTTCAACACACATGCCCCCAAAAGCATTTTTTACAATTCAATTTCTTCTCACTTAGAGTAATTATAATTATTTCTCCAAAGAATTTTTAACCAGATCTCAGTTGTGTTAACTTTATTTAAATCACAGTTGACATTCGATGCAGAGGAAGTGATATAAACTCACATAATAGGCATATGGGATCTCTAAATATAAAATAAAAATAATTTTTAAAGGTTACTAGGGGAATATGACCAAGCAATTTACTCCCACAGACATAGCCAAGAGAACTGAAAACCTACGTCCACACAAATCCTATTCATGATTGCTCTCAGAAATATTATTCTGAATAGCCAAGTGGTGGGAACAGTGTGATGAGGAGGGAAACAAAATGTGCAGTGTCAATTCGATGAAATATCTTCAGGCCGTTCAAAGAAATGAAGCCCTGAAGAACAAGACACCCAGTATGGACGAACCTAGGAAACATTACGCTAACAAAAAGAAGATGGATATAAAGATCACATATCTCATGCACATGACATGTCCAGAACAGGCCAAGCCACAGACACAGAGGCTGGGGGTGCCCAGAGCCAGGGCGTGGGGAGGTTGGAGGGGTGTAGGGTTGCATTCTACAGTGATGATAACACTTCCACATAGTTCGTGGTGATGGTTCTGCAAACCTGTGGATATGCTATTGAATTTTCGAAAGGTGCTTTAATATTCCTTCGGTAGATGAATTACACCTGAATAATGCTGCCATTTTATGAGGTGATTAAGGAGCTTGGTTTCTTCGCATTTGCTAATTTCTACGGCCTGTTGCCTCAACAATCAGAGCGAAAAATTCCAACTCTGCCTCTCCAAGGGGAGTTTATATGAGGTGAAAACTGTACACTGTCACTGCGGCAGCGTTGGCAGTGGGGGTAGAATCTCACTTGCAGTCTGATTCTCTGCCTCTAGAATCTGCATGCCCCTTGACTTCCATGAAGGAGCAGGTGGGGATTACAACTCTGAGTCTGCAGATCCTGTCGGGGCAAGACAAGTCAGAGATGGAAGGGAACACTGAGGCGGTGCAAGGTCCCCAGAACAAGAGGCCAGAGGGACAGTGAATGCACAGTGAATCTACAGGAATCTTCAGTCAATTTTGAGGATTCTTTAAAAAAAAATATGGGCCTTCTGACGAGAGTGATAGGGTGGGTAGGGTGCTTGTCTTGCACATGGCAGACCTGGGTTTCAATCTCCAGCAGGACATATGGTCACCAGACTCCCGCCAGTTTGACCCCTGAGCACAGAGCCAGGAGTCCTGGGCACTGCTGGGTATGGCTCAAATACACTTCCAAAGTTGACTTTTAGAATTAAGTGAAAAGAAACAGGCTTAAGCCAACATCTTCCCTGAAAGAAAACCAAACTGAATGTTTGATACTGAATTCAGGAAAGATGGGAAGTTCCATTTTTCAAGGCCTGAACTGCACACAGCAATGGCACCACCAACCCTAGGCAGACACCCTGGGTTGCAGCTCTTGAGGGGTCAAGTCCCTCTGACCTGGGGAAGTGAAGAGCTCAGGGCCTGAGAGCAGGTTCAGCTATGGCCGTGGGAAATAAATTTTCAGTCCCCTGGAATTTTTCATTTAAACGCCATAATTCTGTCAGTAGGAAAATAAAAATCAATGGCCTTAAAGATGAAGACAGCAGGGGAAGAGTGTCTGGAAAACCCCCAACAGACAGAAACCTACAAAGAAAACCGCATTCAGATCCCAGCATGAAGACACTGCTCTGGCCCTCTCTGGGGAATCAATCTTGAAGCCATAACTCTGCTGCAATCTTCACACCATTTGTCCTCAGACATCCCGAGCTAGGAGTGAACACGAGGCATCCCAGGTCCTTGCTACATCTGGGCTGCATTCAACCCGTTTCAGGGGGCTAATGGACGATCTGGAGTCAGGTACCCCCAGCACCCCCGAAGACTGGCACAAGCATTCTGAATTGCAAAGTAATGAAATCTGATGCAGGCTAGACTAATGCCAATTCCTCCAAAACAGAGAAGAAAAAGCACATTTCTGCAGGGAAATGTCCCAACCGTACACAGTGGATGAGAAGAATGACAAGAGGCCAGGAAGCCAGCCGAAGTGCCATCGTCATGAGCGTCTCCAGACTGTCTCCGCTTGACATTCACAGGCGTCTCCACAGACTGTCTTTGTTTTTCTCCTCAAAACTAGCCCAGCACCTCGGGCTCTCTACGGATTGGATAATAAGATCCTGCAGAAAAATGTCACTGCGGTAATATTTTTCTCCTCTAAAATTTGTTTTTTCTCAGTATGCCAATTTTTTATCTACCCAGACAAATGAAAAATTAGCCCTTGGTCAAAAGTCCTAACTCTGTTGCTCCTCTTGTATCGAGCTCGGAAATCAGAGAATTGGATGGGTAGAGGCACTAAACCACTGCTCTTCCCCATGAAAACCTGATTTCAAAGAGCACTCCTCCCCCCGTCTCCTTCTCTCTCTCCAGAAATGACCTAAGTGTGGAGGAAAGAAAATGGAAAGATTCTGTCCTTCAGGCCTATCTGTGATGAGTGTGCAATGGAAGCCTTCTGTCTCTGTGGGTCCCTGTGCTTCATCTTCATATCTCGGGGCTGAAGAACTGAAGACAAGAGCTGACACGCTGGTTGCTAGGTTACAGAGAAATGCCTCTTAGACAGAAGACTGCAGTTGTGGCATTTGAGAAGGCACCTTAAGAATAGTGCCATAAAAACAGAACCCAACGCCACCATCAACCACTGAGAGGGGCGAGGGGCAGGGGGAGAGGAGATCAAGAATAAAGGTGTCTGGCTACTCTCTAACCACATTCCCCAACTGATGCTCTGGCCTCTCCAGGGCAGATTCAAGCCAGGAATCAGGTGTGCTTTGCAAAGCTGGCACCTCCCTCCCCAGATATTCTTTTATTAAAATATTCTAATTTGACGACTTTCCACTAGCTTTATCCACTGAATCCCATAAACTGCTATCTTTCTTGAATAATTCTACATTCCACAGCATTCAGATAACCCTTACACAGTCCCCAGAACTGATGCAGAAAATTAAAAAAAAAAACACAGGAGAGGCGTGAAGGAAGCAGCACTGGGGAGGAGGGGAGGTCCCTAAACACAGACCCGGCAGCAGAGGGCTAGATCCAGGGCACCACCGACTCCTGCTCCACCGCACTAAGTCAGGGGAGAAGCGCAAAATGGGAGGCCGACAGCCCCCAGGACTCAGGAACCCGGGAATCTGCTGGAGGCATGAGCGTGAGTACACTGCCGAAGCCCTCAGGGGAAGATGGAACAGAATGAACGACTTATTTCTCATGAGAAGGGACCTAGTAGAAAGGCCAGGAAATGCTGGCTCCGAAGTCAACTGCACAGCACAGAGGTGAGCAGATGCCTAGGACAGCCCCGGACCCGAAAGCCCCTGTCCATGTGTCTGTGAGACTCAAGGGAAAGAACTGACCTCACTTTGTGAAACGGCACTCAGCAGCTGGGTCTGAGACACAGGGTGAAGCGAGAGCCAGTGCCCAGGGCACCAGCGCATGGATGCTGACAGCAACCAGAGGAGGAGCTCAGCAAGGCAGGTGGGAGAACAGCAGACTGGAACAGGAAGTTCAGCATGGGCCTGAACCGCTGACTTCCCCAAAGGGCTAGTCAGCGTGGCCAGTTACTTCATCAATGTGATGGAAGTAAGGGGCCCAGAACCAAAGCTCCTTTCTTTTCTCTCTCATTCTTCATAAACAAGGAGGAATCACGTAAGACTCTTGAGGCAAGATTGCCAATCTAATAAAAGAGGTGTTTAGGGGAAATGAAGGTGTCCCTTCCAGTGAATTATGAGCAGAAAGTAGTAAAATTTGGCAGTAACAGGAGATTGAAGCAGTGCTACCTTCTAGGACCTTCGCTGGACTTGGCACTGCCTAAGTTCAACCCCAGCCTCCAACACCAAGGTACAGGTTCAAAGCACCAGCAGACTCCGTGACTGACCAAGAGAGGCTGCCAGGTCCAGGGACAGTGGAGAGAAAGGCTCCACACCTCTCCCCTATGCAATTTGCCAGAGAGTAAATAGGAGCAAGCTTTACTATGAGACTTTGTAATGCTGAGCAAAAGTCTTGAAAATGCTCAAAATCCCAGTCTATGAATTGGTCCTGGGCCAACACTGAGCAGAGGGGTGAACAACCATGAAAGAAGTACATACTGTGTTCTCCAAGTAAATCCAAGGCTCTTCCTTTGATTTATGGTGCTTTCACTCCAAAAGACTATTCTCCAACCCTCCTGGAGCTGGGCTCTGCCAACACCAGGTCAAGACTCCAGAATAATCTAATCTGCTCCCAGAAAGGGGTTCTTTCATTTGGGAAGGGTGGTAGGCTTCCTAAGCAGTGCTCAAAGGACCTGGTGCCACCTCTGACTGGACCAGGCTCGGGCCCATTTTGTGGGTGGCATTAGACAGTGCTGAGGGCGGGCAAGAGCAGCATGGGCTTGGACCATGCAGTAAGCCCTGAACCATCTCCCCAGGCCCAGAGAGGTCACTGTGGATGTGTCATGTCCTCTATTCAGCATGAAGCTCGAGGATGCTGTACCTGCCGGCCCTACACCCTGGCAGAGGGTCCTCCCTTATGAGCTCTCTGCTTGTCGAAGCTTCTGGCAGCAGGTCTTGCCTCTCACCGAGGAAAGCTTGTCTCCGGGGGAGCCTTGCCCTCTTCAAGAAATGATGGGGGCTGGGAGTTGTGCCATCTCTTGTATCTGGCTCTTTGGGGAGGCTGAGGTCTCCCAGCCT